TTTTGCTCTACTGGACATGGAACCCAGGCCATATACATAGCTAGTCAAGTGCTCTAGCACTCAGCAACATCCTCAAACCCTCCACAGTATTTCTCAATCAGCTCTTCATTATTTTACATTCTAACTTACTTGAACCTATAACTTTCGCTGATATTCAAAAAAGAAACAATATTAAAGCAAGTTCTTTAGTATTGGCTATCTGTTAAAGTATAATTACATTAGCACTTTTCATTTTAAGTGAGCTTCTTTGAATGATTAGTCAAAATGCTATGACTTCCTCCCTTTCCAGGTGTGATTGGAGTAGGCTACTACTGTCCTCAGAGGGGTTTCTCAGAGGAAGTGAGAGATGCGGTGATGAAACTAGTGCCTCTGACACGCCGACTATGGCAGATGACCAAGATTAAAATGCTTCCTACGCCTGCAAAATTCCATTATGTATTTAACCTTCGAGATCTTTCTAGGATCTGGCAGGGGATGCTGAACGCCACTTCAGAGGTCATCAAAGAACCAGAGGTAAGTGATATGTGAGAGAGAAAACAATTAACATTGCTATTAATTATGAATCCTAAGTATTTTTATTCATTTACTTTTTACATGAATTCAAAAATATTTTGGGTTCTTTCAGCATGCATATTCATTTTGTCTGTGGTTTTCAACTAATTAATCTTTGGAGAGAATAATATGAAGTTATGGACACCTCCCTCTTAGGTGTTAATGTATAATTTCTGAACTGTGAGTAAGGAAAAAGTAAATACATCAGAAAATTTCAATTGAAAATTTTGATTAAATTAGGTTTATGTTTAGGGAGATAGTATAGACAATCATTTTCTAATGAGTAGGATAAAAGAAGTAATTAATTTTGTTTTTCCATCATAATGTATTTTTCTTCTGAGAACAATCATTGATTTTATTCTAAAGTAGTCTCATATTTTAAACTTGACATTTTAACTTTAAAATAGTTATTTTTATAAGTAAACATTCAGAATAAAAAATCATTTTATTGTTAATCACCTATCTTTTCATGTAACAAGATGCACTAAAAGAATATGTGTATTCATAAAATTGAAAAGAAGCAGCAAAGTAGGAAATTTATCTAATTCGAAACTGAGCATTTGTATATATGCTTGAACATGACAGTCCCTAGAGTCTAAGAATTTTCTTCAAACTAGACATCTTATGTGAATAGCCAGTATGTCAAGGCCTGGTCACATGACAAGTCTGAGGGAGGGCTGGCCTCTCTCCCGGTCTTTCCTTCTAGTTTTATTTTATTTTTTTGGTAGTACTAGGTATTGGGCCCAGGGTTTCACATATGCTAAGTAAGCACTCTACTACTGAGTTACAGCTTCTGATCCATCACTTATCTTTTCTGGAGTTGAGGAAGTAGCTAAATTAAGCAAATGGACCCTAGGCAAACACAGAGGCAGTTGAATTACCAACAAAACTGTCATTAAACTAACTAAGTGCTGACTATCAGATCCCTTGTCTGTGTCCCAGATGCTCAGAAATGGGTGATTACCCAGGAACATAACTCTTGAAGACTAGACATTTTGGAGGAAACTCATAATCTTTATGAAAGAGAATTACAGGACAGTTTAGTGACAATGACTATATTAAGTTGATTTTTTTTCCTCAAAGTTATTAACAATTAATGGGAGTGTGGGATGCATTTCTTAAATACTAGTTTCCTGTTTGTGTACTTAACAGCACAAACTATTCCAGTAACTGGCATTCCCATAAACTATTTTCTAAATGGGTCATTGAATATATTTTATTAAACTTTAATATTCTGCCCATAGAATAGTATTTCATTATTAGTAATACAGTCTTCTAACCTGTGCAAAATGTTAAGGGATGTGAGGAATTTCTACGAGTCTATTATATCAAATTATGAGCTTAGACATTTGTAATTCTTGCTTTAGGAACAGAAGTGTTGTTCAATTAAATTTCATCAGCTTTTGGTTAATGTTGGGCTCTGGATTATCTGCATGAGGCATTGTTTTGTTCAAATAACCCAGATTTTTTTTGCCACAAATTTCCTTCACTTGTATTAACTAAATATACCATGTCATATCTCAGTATCTCAATGCATTTAGGTATATTTTGAAATATAACAATATATAATATATACACTGAGATATAAAAGTGTCTAAGTTTATCTTTGTAACATCTGAGTTGTATACATGAGAATTGTTCATACACTATATTTTGGCCACATGAATATAGGTATCTTACTCAAAAAGACTAATTTATCACAAACTTAAGACCTTTTCATAAAATTTAGTTGGCTGATTGATCAGAGGGATTTTTTTTTTTTTTTTTTTTTTGCCAAGGAATATTTTCTTTTAGAGATTGCAGAAGGATAAACTCTACCTTTCCTCTAATATACTTGAGTGAAACTCACATGAAAAGAAAGTTTTAAAATTTTAGATTCTTTAAAGTATTGAATCTTAAATTGAGAAAGATGATCTCTGTAATATCTCGGCTTGAATTTCCAATTACGGTGTGGTGGGCTTTAATCCTGTGTTTAAACCGTGCCTTGACAGGTGCTGCTCAAGCTGTGGAAGCACGAATGCAAACGTGTGATAGCCGATCGTTTCACTGGGTCTGATGATGTGACCTGGTTTGATAAGACCTTAGCAAGTCTGGTAGAGGAAGAGTTTGGCGAAGAGAAAAAACTCTTGGTGGACTGTGGAATTGATGCTTTCTTTGTGGATTTCTTGCGGGATGCACCTGAAGCTACAGGTAAACTTTTGAAGCAGGGAATGAAATTCTCCAATAGGATTCCCAAAGAGGCATTTTGAAGAGAGGAGAAGTTTCAGTTAGGAAGGTTAAGTTTCTGCTTAGGAGATTTTATTGAAACAATTCTGGGACATCGTTGGTACTCAGTAAATGTAGAATGAAAGGATAAATGTGTTGTCTTGGAGTTCATAGCTGAACTAGCTTTGTGATTAGGGGAGCTGGGTAGGGTAGAAGGAACTACGCAGGTCTCATAGTCTGTCTGAGGTCAGTTGGAGGAAGGCTCCAACACACCTTAGCTGGATGTCTCAGAACATTCTTGAAGTACGTCCTTATTCACGGGAATAGAAATGCAAACATGAGCATTGTGGGGAAATGAACAAAATGTTGTAAAGAGAGTGGTGTGGCATCTGTGGCCCACAGTCACTGCCGAATGAAAGGAAGCAAAAAAATGACAAGAATAATTATTACTCAGGCCATTTGAATGTGGAAAATAAAGAGAAAAGCCCCAAATTAAATGAGAAGGTCATTGAATATAATTGGAAAGAGATGGGTGAAGTGAAGGCAAACTTTTATGGTTATGGGCTCATGAAAAATGGAGATATATTACTTCTCTTATGAAAAGAGGCACTGTTCCAATTATTTTCCTCTCAGAAATAACTGGGATTAAGAAGGATATTATAACCTCTTCTTAAATTGAGGATGTGGTTTAAGTTAATTTGCATATGTAAAATGATGTGTTTAAAGACCTATTATTTATGTCTTCTAAGTGACTGGAAATAAATAGGCAGCCCCTGACCAGTCTGATAACAGTATGTAACATCTATGAAACATCTCTAAGTGACAATTGTGACAGGATATTCATGGTTGGCTATGCACTTGGAATGAAGGGGGACACATTTTATTTTAAAGCAAATCAAATATGTACAAAAATTCTATAAAGGCATATTTGCAAAATAGTTAGAATGTATCTTATATTTGTTATACTTCATTTCCTGTATTTTAGAAGGGTAAATAATTAGACAAGATGTCACTTTTTTTCTTTGGTTACTGATATTAACTAATGTCTAATGTTAGTGAATTTAGACATATGTAACTCAGCTTTTTCTTTGGCATTAGGCTTCACAGTCAATATTGGGAGTGTTAAGCCTGTACATGATGTATTTAATTTTGAAAAGTATATTGATTTTAATATGTTTTCTCAGTGAAACAATTCAATATGCTTATTCTCTACCTTCCAGTCCCATGCCCTAAAATTCATTTCTATGTTTACTAAATGAGAGTTTGGAATCATAGAAATTATCTGAGCAAATGCAGTAACCTTTTTCTTTCTATTTTTATTAAAAAGTCAGGTAATTCTTAACCTCTTGTGACTTTGGCATTAAGTCTCACCTTTTTTGACTTTGTTCTTAACCATTAAGCTCATATCTCTGGGAAGATCTTTGAAATGCAATCTTCAATTGTGCCTACAAATCTAATTCTGTGGACACAACATTATTTGAAATTGGCCCTTTCTTGACAAGAAAGAACTAAGACGGCTTATGATCACAAAAACCCGAATACTTCTATTATTTCTTTCTCTCTTTTTTTTTTTAAGACTATGAAATATGGCATTTGATGAATATTAGTATTATAGTCAGTGGTAAATTATAGAGTTCTGAATGTATTAATTTATGGCTAAGAGAGTAGTGAAGAAATAATTGATTCTTCTTCCTCTCCAAGGTGAAACTTCTGAGGAGGCTGATGCCGAAATGCCCAAAATTTATGAGCCAGTTGACTCTTTCAATCAACTGAAAGAGCGTTTGAACATGTTCCTGCAGCTGTATAATGAGAGTGTCCGAGGCGCTGGCATGGACATGGTGTTCTTTGAAGAAGCGATGGTTCACTTAGTCAAGGTATGGAGGCCTTGCCAAGTAGCGCCTTGCTGAAGTGGCAGGAGCTTTGCTTCACGCCACAATCCCCTCCCTCTTTTCAATTTCATCTCCTAGGAGAGTACTGAGTTTAAAAGTAATCTCAATGCTGTATTCCAATTTAATTTCTAAACTGAGTGCAACATGTCACACCTTATAGGCTTAAAATAACAGTATGTGTATGTGATATTTCAATGTGTGATGTGATAATTTTATTCAGTGTTGCTATACAGCTTCCAGCTCAGTGTTTTCATCACATAGGATGAATGCGGTTGACATCGGAGTTCAAAGCTTAGGCAAAGTCTGCTGATGTTTATATCATGTAAAGAATATTATTATAAGTGTAGTGTAAAAACCTAGAGGACATTGAGCTAAGTGAAATAAGCAAGACCCCAAAGGGCAAATGCTATAAGCAAAGACCCCCAAAGGGCAAATGCTATAAGTTAGAGTATTAAAATTCATGAAGACAGAAAATAGAATGGAGGTTGCCAGGGGCCGGGTGGAGAGGGCAATTGGGAGTCAGTGTTTCATGGGCAGAGAGTTTCAGTTCTTCAAGATAAAAGGAGCTCTGGAGTTGGATGGTGAGGAAGGTCACACAATAGTATGAAGGTACCTAACTCTATGAAACGATGGCTATACAATGAAGTCCACCTGGAAGGTACAGTGTCCATTCTCCTTTGTCATATGAGTCATTCCAGTATCCACTTTTAGGACAACTGACTCTCAAAGGTTAGAAGTAAATGTGTTATTTCATCTAAAAACTTATGTGACCTAATTTATCAGTGTTGTAAGATAATGCTACCTACAATCAGTTGTTGGTATTCTCTTTGTTGACAACAAAGTTTTCGAACTGTACTGTTTTTGTTAGAAAGAAAATTACTTGAGACTGTTGTCTACCATACTTAGGTTTAACCATGAGGAAGTGTCTCATGAACAAAAACTGTATTCTGTGGTCATTTAGAAACCAATTTTAGAAATGAAGAAAGTTCTAGAAATTATCTAGGAAATTTTCCCTCTGAAAATAGGGATTGTTTCTCTGTTTCTTTGTCCTCTGTTGGGAAAGGGAATACTTTCCATAAGGCTGGAGCAGATCTAGGAGAAGGAGGAAGCCAGAAAGGGTGTTGGGGGTTACTTCTCCTCATTTGAGGGTGTTCAGCTTGGCAAGTCCATGAGTTGCTTGAGACATCTCTACTCAACAATGGGCCCCGATGTTTTTCCAAAGCCATGCATCAGTGAGAGTTTGGAATTAACTCTAAATTTATGGTTGTTAGGAGTTAAGTGTTTCAGGAAGAATGGATATTCTGTTACATTTAATAACTAAAAGAAAGGGAAAAATAGAAAAAGCATTTTCCATATGAGTGATACGAGCAGGCAACTTTATGACAAAGTGACTGTTGGAGACGCAGTCAGACTGGCCTGGTATTTCATAACCAATCACACTGAGGACGGTGTTATTTGCATGAGTCTTATGATTGAGCAAGTTCGTTAGAACTGTCTCTTTTCCCATGTTTTACAGCACAGACAAGAATGAACCCTTCCTTATGTGTCTGGTGTACTACCAGAGGCCCTTGTCTTGGCTAAGGGTCCTTGTGGGAGATTTTCCTTGCCCTCAGCCTCTAGCTTGTTTGCTCTGGAGTAGCCAAAAAGTGCATGACCAGAATTTTTGAGCCCCAGTTCTGCAGACTTCTTATTATGTTCTAGGCAGACTCTGCCTGTACTTGTTTTCTGTGCTCAGTACGTGCATGCTGTCACAAAAGCGAGAATGCTGACATATGTGGCCTAGTTACAAGACAAGGTAGAAACCAAGAGACAGAATTGGAGACAAAAGCTGAAACCCAGTGGGATGTGCTCTGAGACCTAGCATACTTGTTTGCTCCTTTCTCCATCAAAATAATGATTTTCTTTCCACACTTTCCGGAATACGGCTCTGGGAGATATACCGCTTTTGCTCCCTGGGTGGAAGTTGAGATTGTAGGGTACTATAGGTAACTTTCCATGATCCAGTCCTGTGAGCTATGCCTGCTGAGTGTATCATCCAGGAAAATGAACTGCTTGTGGCTGTACACATGCTGACCCCAGAGAAGCCTACCACTATGAATTCCCGGCCCAAACTATGTTGGGTAGAGTCCATTTTCCCTACCAGACACTGAGATCTGGAAGTCATCTCTGTCTTCCCAGGACAAATGACTGCTGAGATGTTCACACAACAGACTTGATGAACTATCTCAAATTTAAGCAATTCCAAAGTGTGAACCTAAATCATCTTTTGCTGTCTCTTCTCCTGCTATTTCCCTGCCTTCTCCTGGTGTTTCTACCCTTAAGGTGATATCTCAGGCCTTTCTCTGACTCTAAGATTTTGTGTATCTCATTCTTTCTTTCTGAAATCTAGTCCAACTGCTGTCCAGTATGGTGCTTCTTTGCACTGTAAATGTTATGGTTGATACACCGTGTCAACTTGAGTAGTCTAGAGGCTTGGCTGAGAGACTCAGCAGTTCCACATCCTGGGGTGGAAAGGACATGCCCATCCAGCTCTGGGATCTTGTTCATTATGTCAGTTTGAGAAGTTTAGAAGGTTAACCAAGGGACTGAGCAGGGTCTGGGGTCCTCACTTTGTATCATCCTGAGCCTGGGCAAGAGGAGGGCGTGGAGATTATGTGAGTGTTACACGCCCCCTGGGTAGGGGCAGCCTGCTTACAATATAAGGGAGGAAAAGAGGCTTGTTTTCCCCATTTTTTTGCTCTTGCTGCTTTTGCTGTGTTGTGCTGCCTTGAGTGTTGCCCCTGTGCCCTGCCCCCTGCCTTGGAGCCAGCTGATTATGGACTGAAACCTCCACAAACTGTGAGCTAAGTAAACCTTTCTTTCCTTAATTTTGGGTGTTGGCTATTTTGTCTTAACAATGAGAGAAAAGTAACCAAGACAGTAAATTTCCAGTCAGTTTTCAAGGTTCAGATTGAATTTCATCTCCACACCTGAGACTTGCCTTCCCCAGGCAGCCATGTCTTCTTGGCTTCCTCCTATTTGCCCTCATTCCTTTCCTGTTCCACGTTCACCCCATTTCTATGAATAAATCTGTCTCCCCTGCTATAGTGTGACTACCTGCAAGGCAAGAGGGACGTTATTAATATTTAAATATTTGAGAGTGCAAATAGAAAATGCATACATCACAGCCCATACTCTTAGGGAAAAATAGTCCCAGTTGAGGGTCTCCCTTTACTGAAATCTGTTTGCAACTAGATTATGAATTTTCTAGCATTTGTAATGGTCTGGGGCTACTGACTAGCAAGGAGTGGCCTCCTGACATGCCTTTAATCACTTCTTAATAGATACCTTGGCTATTGCTGTCTTTGCCAAGTAACAGGAATATTTATGTGTACTTCCTTCTTCGTTAAAAAATTCCATCATCTATGTCATATGTTGGGAATTTTTTCCCTTGGATTTAAACTCTTTCATTTTTTTTTCCAAAAGTGGAGGGTGTTCTAATCAATTATATGCTCTATATTCTGAAGACAGTCTAAAATGTTGGTTGTCTTTCATATGAAAACAGATTTAGGTTGGGAAAGTAAAAGAACATCGGAGTCCCTTGGAAATACAGAGCTGTCCAGTCTGGGCCTGGTGCTGACTTTCCGCACTGGGACCCTTCTGGCTTCTCACCCTGTCTAATGCATCACAAACAATGTTGTATTTCAGAAATGCACTCACTCCTTCAACCGGCATCTCTTCAGTCTCATCTGGAGATGCCCACGTTGTCCAAAATGATTATATGGTCTTATTTTTACATTCTGTAAATATGAAAAATGGTACATTTACATGTTGACAAATCCATGCCTTTTCTCCACGTGATAGATCTCTCGAGTCATTCGTACTCCTCAGGGAAATGCCCTCCTGGTCGGAGTGGGTGGATCAGGAAAGCAGAGCCTGACAAGGTTGGCTTCATTCATTGCTGGCTACGTTTCCTTCCAGATCACACTAACGAGGTAAAAAGCTTCACCTTTAACCTAGAATACATTGTGAAAAAGGCCCCCCAAAGTCACAAATGCATTTTTAAATGTTCTTCAAGAATCATAATAGTTTGCCTCTGGAATGTTGGTTTATCATCTTCCTCTTTCAATCTTTGTTATAGATCATGTATATTTTACATTAATAACATTCTTTTAAAACAGGTTAGCCTCTCCTTGTAGTAAATCACTACCTCCTTCTTTGTCTGTTATATACAACATGGGTATGATGGGTAGTCTTTTTGGTGTGTCTCAGAAGAAATTTATCCCTGTCAAATAATAATACAAATTTCAGGAGTGTTAATAGAAAGGAGAGGAAATTGAAAGATTACTTTTTCTTTCTTTCTTTTTTTTTTGTTTTTTGTTGTTTTTCTCCGGTACCGGGAACCGAACTCACGACCTTGTGCTTGCCAGGCAGGCGCTGTGCTGCTGAGCTAAATCCCCAGCCCCGAAAGATTACTTTTTCATTCAAGGATTAGGACACTTGGAAGTAAACCTTGTTATCCTGTTCTAGTTTGTGGATGGAAGCATAGGCAGATAAAAGATGACTTGCATGGGAGGAGGATTGGACTTAACTTTTTGTCCCTAATCTTTGTATAAAATCTTATTGTTTTCAAAGCACTTTTACATATCTGAGCTTCTTTGATTTTTTAAATTACTTTGTGGAATAGGAAGGCACATGGTAAAATCCTATTTTTTAGCTGAAGTTCAGAGAGGCTATGAACTGCTTGACATCTCAGATATAGCTGGAAATTGATTGCAAGTTTTTCTTTTTCTTTTGTTTTCTTTGCAATCAATCAAGGCTTCTGGTTTAGTGTGACTTGCGCTGTATCAGTGCCTCAATAAACATGCCTTACAATACTCATTATGATAAATTAGTTCCTCTGTAGGTCATACTAACAGTGATGTGTCACTAATGAAGGAAAGACCAAGATCTTCCTGGCCTCATTTTTAAAAATTGGTTCATTTTATTAGGAAAACTTTTAAAATTAGTATATATTTTGGTATGTAATGGCCCTATTCATTATGGAGTACTGGTACATATCCATTGCTCCTTTGTACCCCCCTTTTTGTCCCCTCCTTCTCATCTCCCCCAGTCCTCAGCCTTCAAGAGACCATCTTCCTCCTTAAGCCTTTGCTCAGCAGTGTAGCTAAGGCTGGAAGGCAGTAGCGCCATATCCGGAAGCACAACCATTTGTCAAGAGTCTCAGGTGGTATCATTTGAGGTTGTGGGCCTTTGAGATCCAGGGGTCAGGGCTAAAAGTTTTCCCCAAGTCATGAGAAACTGAATGAAATGGTTTACTTTTTCTTTTCTTTTCTCTTTCTTTCTTTCTTTCTTTCTTTCTTTCTTTCTTTCTTTCTTTCTTTCTTTCTTTCTTTCTTTCTTCTT